ATTTAACACAGTTGTTTATACTTTTAACAACTCATTTTATTCCACAGCTGACACTGATAAAAATGACAGATTTTCTTTTCTGGATCTCTGACAGACGGACTTCAGTCTCTGAACTYATAAAGTTCTTCTTTTTTAGTTTTCGCTTTAGTTTTCCTGAATGGACACTTCCTGATATCTGAGGCAGGAAACATAGTGGTGTTTTTGGGGTAGTAATTATGCTAATCTCCTCTCGCGTGCACGAGCAGCTGGATATGAACAGGTGGAATTTGCGCAGCTCATTTATACACTTTTCCTGAAGATAGAAGAGTTTGTTGAATCTGACGTGGCATGTTCGTACGAACCCTTTGTACGAACAAAAGTAAGAGAAATTTAGGATAAGAATACGAACATGTTCTTGCATGAGGCCCAATGTCTATAATTCAGTCAGATTTATGGTGTCATAATGGTGTCTGAGAGTCATCCTCAACATGTACTCTGAGTATAAAAAGATCTCAATATCACAAGTTTGGGCAAAACAACTTTTACAAGGATTAAGCAAAATGGGTACAACTTTTAAAATAATTTGAAAGTATGCATTATTTTAAGGAATATTAGAGCTTTAATTTGATCAGTAGTTTATACAGTAGATTAAGTGTTGATCTTTTCTTTTTTTTTTTTCTTCCTAGGTATCGCTTCATGGCCATGGATCGTCTGGGCACTGACCTTCAGAAAATCTGTGACCACAATGGAGGACATCTGAAGAAGACCACTGTGCTTCAGTTAGGTCAAAGACTGGTGAGAAGATCAGTTCTGATGTGTTTTTTTTCTGTACCCTGACTAGAGCAAAAATTCAGTTAAAATCCTGTTTGAAACACAGGTAGAGCTCATCATCTGCCCTGAACAACAAAAGGTCCTCTGTTGGTACGAGATGCTGATCAGAGTTGTGCTGCTTTTTTTTCCTTCATCAGGTGGACGTCCTCGAGTACATTCATGAAAACGAATATGTTCATGCAGACATTAAACCTGCTAACCTCATGTTGGGTTACAAAGACTCTGAACAGGTCAGTCCACTCTACAGTTCAGCAGGATAATCCAACATTAATCAGAAATATCCATCTGCTGGTAAAATGTTCTTCTCTCAACTGCTATCAGCTGCTGGAGGTTCTGCCTCTTAAGAAGACTGGGCTATTTAAGAGGTTTTGTAATCTTTTAGGTGTACCTGGCAGACTATGGCCTCTCCTACAGGTACTGTCCTGATGGAGTCCACAAAGAATACAAGGAAAACCCTAAAAAGGGTCACAACGGGACCATCGAGTACACCAGCCTTGATGCCCACAAAGGACTGGGTAAGCCATTCATTAATGTTTCAGATGAGTTGAACATTTATGGAGATAAATTAGTCTCAAAATTTGATCTCACCTGTGAATGTGACCTTTGAGACTTTGCTCAAATCTTGTTGCTAGCTCGAATCTTGTTGTGCGCACTTAAATCTTTTTTGAGAATAATTTATCTCCAGAAATGTCACAGGCAGAAATGATTTAGTTCAGTAAGTTCTGCAGGACCTCAGGAACGTTAACACAATAATCAAAGGCCTAGCATTTCTTGATGTAATGACAATAACATTGCGCACAGTCTCATGCAATTTTGTGAAAACTCACATGATCTGTTAGCTCTTGGAGTACCTGTTGTGAATGATGCTCAGCTGCTACTAGCAATGGGAACTGAATTCGATATGTTTATAAGTACCGACTGAATTCTGTCGGTACTACCGAGTACCTACTCACATAACATCAAACGATACCATGTTTTGGTACCTAAACGCAGCATTGTGACCATATTGGCTTAGCCTGAATGCAGCATCATACAAGAGCGTAATGACGTCAGCAGCCGCTGGTTCAGTAAACAGAGGCAGCAGAGCTGGGTCTGAACGTACAGTAGCTTGAAAGCCTCACAGCTCCTGGAGTAAAACTCACCGAACAGACCGCCTCTGAATTATCTGTTGAATTAATTGTCTTGTGAGCATGACGTTCACTTGCTTAAAGTAAATAAAGTACCGCCACTTTCTTTATTTCATCCGCCATTAAACAGAGGCCAGCAGAGGAAAACAACAGAGGTGTTTCCCAACAGTCTGAACACGTCTGACCTGAAGGGGCACAAGCAGCTAACTTGAAGCGTTGGGCACATTTTGGATGCTCAAAATGTAGCTTCAATACCTTTTTATTTATTTTAATTCAATCCTCTTTTGCTTATTTGATTTAAACTTATATGCCATCCATGGACCTCCATCACACATTTTTTTAGCAGGGAAATGACATCAATAGAAACACGTGGAGCTGGATTTTAATTTGTGCAATAAGACAAAACACTGTTGTTTTCAAGAGTTTTCACCTTAAAGAAATAAGTTATGACTGATGTTACAATACAAAGAGTTGGATGTTGTCTTGATAGTTGTTAAATTTTATATATTGAGAAATAAATATGTTAAAAAAGTTTATCATTAAAAAAACAACACACACAAAGTACCAAAAATTGGTACCGTTGAGTACCGGTACCGGATATTGGTACCGAATCAATTTAAATGTCAAAGGTACCCATCCCTAGCTGCTACTACACTAAACTTTATATCTGTATCTGTAAAATAGAAAGCTCTATCTGTATAGAAAGAGCCAACTTTCTGTAGGCTAACGTTGATTAGCTGTGGTGATAATTTTTAATTGGTTTGACTCCAAAAGTTAATTGTTAGACGTATAGCCAATTATTGTTTAGGTGTTTTGTTGAAGTCCATCCAGTGGTTCACAAGATAATTTGCCAATAGACATGTGCATACATACATGGGCAAAAAGATCACCCTTTTTCTTTTAGCGGAGTGATAAATCCAAGTTTGTCAATTTTCAATAAATATTGGAGTTAAGTTGCAAATTCATAAAGTCAGATTCAGAAATATAGATTTAGATTCCATTTTTGAAACATTCAAGTCAAAGTACAACAGAGAATTACAGGACACACAGTAAAAGCTCTTCTTTATCAATTATGAGAATAAAGTCCTAATATTATGAGCTTAAAGTCGTAATATTATGAGAACTCCTACAAGAAAAAAGCAGTTTTGTACTTTAGTATCAGTTAAAATAAATACTTAATCTTTTAGAACATCAGCATTAAATCATCAGTAGCAGGACTTTGAAACGATTGTGCAAATGACTTGGAGCCGTATTGCAGTTAGTGGCTGCTTTGACAGATTTAGTCGTCACATAGTTTAGATGGAAGCATATCACACAAACGGTGACCCAAAAGTCACGCGGACTACTACATAAACACAGAGGCACCCATGTCTGTCCACAGCAGGTGTGAGGAAAATGAGGAAATGAGGAAATAAATGAAGAATGGAAAATGGACATTGTAAGATTATGACTTTTTTCTTGTAAATTATGACTTTATTCTCATAATAAAAAAAGTAAAATCTCGTGGCCATAATACTCTGTCATAGGGAAGCACTTGTTCAGATTGAAAACTTAAAAATTTTCTGATGAACAGTTTTGCTCAGAATAGTTTGAATCTTTGTACTTTATAAAAAAATTAAAGCTGTGACATTTGTATATAAAAACAACCATTTTGTTGTTGTTAAATCAAACCTTATATTAACTAAGAAACATTTTGAAACATTGAAATAGTTCAAATGTAAATTCCCATCTCAAATAAAACTGTTTGCATTTCTTATTTAAGTACTACTGATTGTGTTACCAGAACAGAAAACATTTCACAAATTCATTTAAAAAGATAAAGACATTTATTTAATTGAACCTGACTGGTTATTGGCCTTCTTCATTGTGGGGTATTTCTCAGTGTTGCAAAGACTCTGAGCAGTTTTATTTCCAGTCTGATTGGTTCTCGTTCCACCGCACCCTCCACCTCAATCAGCTGATATTGGGAACACATTAACTGGCAAATTGCCTACATGCTCGCTTTCTTCATTGATCATCGATTTTCCCGTCTATCCCTGCTCCCCTGCTGAATTCCCCAGCACTGTCTCTGTTTAACAATTCTCTAATTAGGCAAAGTCATAACCTGCATCTTGTATTCACCTCCTCCCCATTAATTAAGAGCTTTGATGTTTGGTTAGAGTGAGGCCTGCGCCACAGATAACCTCCACAGGCCCCACGTCCACCAGCTCCACCAATCTGCAACGCCATACTGTGAGCTGGCATGACTTGGGCTTCCTAATTATCACACCCAAGTTTCTGTCCATGTGATCAGTCAAAGAAACAGCAGAAAAATGTGTCCCATAGCTGGAAACACATTGGATTTATTGGTGAGTTTGCATTGTTTTAGATTTTTCTCATGAAAAAAAAAAAACAAACAACAAAACATCCATCCATCCATCCATTTTCTGTACACGCTTCTTCCTTTTCAGGGTCACGTGGGTCACTGGTGCCCATATCCAGCAGTCACAGTGCGAGGGGCGGGGTACACCCTGGACAGGTCGCAAGTCCATCACAGGGCCACACATAGAGACAAACGAGACAAACAACCATTCACTCTCTCACTCACACCTACGGACAATTTAGAGTTATCAATTAACCTAACAGTCATGTTTTTGGTCTGTGGGAGGAAGCTGGAACAACAAAACATAACATGAAGAAAGCAGCTGAAGCAGGCACAGAACTTTGATACCGTATGATAACAAGACACATGACTGGAAACCAGGTGTTGAGACTTTAAAAAAGGAACATCCCCTAGTGCTATGGTCTATTACGTTTACAAAAGAGCCATTGTAACCCTTTCCACATAAAATGAATTTAACTAAGAAGCACAAACTACTTCAGAATAGAATCAGAGATAAAAACTAGGATAACACAACTCACTATTAGGTTAAATATTAAAAAAATACCTCTTATAAGACTTGGGTTATATTCAGATATAACAAGATAGAACTCGATGTCCACCATTGCTGATGTCCCTCTGTTGCCATTCAGTAATGACCAACTGTTAGCAGTTTTGCTGGAATCATCGCAGGCCTTCATTATTTAAATCACCTCATAAGGTGATAGACCAAGAGATGGACCGAGGGGGCCTAAAGTAAAGAGGCCTCATGTAACGGTGCGTATGCACAAAAACCTTGCAAACACCATTTTCCATGCAAAACTCTGGATGTATCAAAACTGAAATGAACGTGGAAATGTGCGCAGCCCCACGCCAACTCCAGGGCTGGTGTACGCACGTTTCTGTGGTTTTGGTTTTATTGGAGACACTTAGAGGTGATTCTGAGAAACTGTTCATGATGTAAAAATGATTATTGTTCACAGCAGACACGCATATTAACAATTATTACATCCACATGGATGCAGTTAGATAAAGGACACACAAAGTTGTGCCAAAAAATACATTTAACAGGAACTGATTCAGCCTTACTGGAGGATATAATAAATAGTGAAACACGCAGAGCTTTAATTTATAAACAGATATAATTTTCTGATGACGAGTAGCTCATCAGCCGTTTTCAGGAATAATCTTTTTTCAGTTTGGCACTGCTGCGCTCTGGAGCGCGGCACAGCGGGGAGCCGCGTGCACGTGCAGAAGCAGCAATCAAACTGGGGTTCCACAGCTTTCCAGAGGGAGCTGGCAGACCAATGGGGACTGTGTCAGTCCAGTCCACCCAAAGCCGAATCATGCCCAATGGAATTGTCTCATCCATATGATTCTAAAGCAGGGGTGCCCAAAGTTTTTGCCAGAACGGGCCAAAATTAAAATCTATCAGAGGACCGTGGGCCAAATTTAATAATATAATATAAAAATGTAATTTTTTTAAATGAAGTCCTTTTTATTTCCTGAAAAAGTTGTTTAACCTTCCTTTCTGTATAAAGAACATTACAGAATATAAAATAAAACAAATAAGTCACATATGGCCAATTAACAAATATAAAAGTTTCAGTATTTCAGTAGTGCAAGAACTGGCACATGAGAACAACGGCAGATGATGGACGGGTGGATCTTTTAGACTCCTTATACCAGCAGCCTGTCACAAAGACACGATTTAAATCTATATTTTTTACAAATGAAAATAAAGTTTGACACATAGTGACATAAGTCAGTGCTTTAGCTCCAATGAGCTGAAAACATGTCCCACGGTTAATAATCAACTGATAATCTGTTTCAGTGCTTTAGTACATGTAGTGCAAAATATCAAAGTGCATGTCGAACAGCAAAACAAATGAACAGCAACACTGACAAGGCACTACTAGTGAGAAACATGTAGCTGGTCTTTGGCTTTTATCAGCCTCTCAATATCAGGCTGCAGATGAGTCACTGACAGGGTGAGGATGTCCTGTAGGTGTGGGTCAGTCAGAGTGCT